AAGTTTTTATCGGTAAAACAGACCCTTTGGGATCCCCTTAAGCGTTATCAAAAAAAATGGTTCAGGACTTTTCGATACAGTTTGACCCAATCTACCTCCACTTTTCGTTTGGTCACTTACTTGTCAGACCCTGTATAATCGAGATACATTGTTTCTAAATACAGTAAATATAGCGAATAGGGGACTCAGCCCCAATGACCTTGACCTTGACATATGTTGTCAATGACATAATTCTGACTAACTTTTTCTTCTAATTTAATCGTCGCTCGTTGCTTATTAAAAAGTTATTAACAAAAAAAGTTTGAAATATACCAAAGTACATGCACGGACAGGAAGCTATATTTCAAACTTTTTTTGTTAATAACTTTTTAGATTAAATTAGAAGAAAAAGTTACTCAGAATTATGTCCTTGACAACATATGTCAAGGTCAAGATCATTGGGGCTGGGTCCCCTATTCGCTATATTTACCCTAAATACAAAATATTATATACGAGATAACATATCAACAGGTCCTAGTGATAATCTTACCTCTCGTTGAGATATGCCTGGGCTGTACTAGCGCGGAGCAGAACGTAGACTGCATCATGTTAAGCTTTTGCGCAATGCTTGCTGTGCTGAAGATAATACAGTTCCGCATTTATGCTAACAACTTAATTAACAACTATAAATCTGCTCTAAACGATTATCTGACCATTGAAAATGTAGAAGAACGTAGCATTATGCGAAAACATGCTCTTGCAGCAAGGATGGCTTCATTTCCTCTGCTGAGCTTCTCTTATTTTATTTGTATGATGTATACGATAACATCTTTTATGAACCATGACAAAAAAAATCAAAACATTACAGACGAGGAAATTATATTGGAGTATCCAATACCATCAAAATGCGCTATGAAATATTTTCATGCTCCAATAAGCATGTACAAAATATTTGTCATCATTCAAGCAATTTCATTGATAGTAGTGACTAATGCTAATCTCGGTAATATTTATTTGTTATGTGACATTTTTAAGTATATTCTGTTTTAATTCACATATAAGTGTGTGGAAATTTAGAACAAAAATATAAGATTTTCAGCAAAATTATATGTGTATTATATATAGTATATTGAATATATGTATACAAGGATTCAGAAATACAGTTGTACAAACTTTGGGGGTGAGTTCTTCACACATAAACAAGAAGAAAATATCATATACACATACATATGTCCGGTAATGCTTGGATTATAAGAAAATCAAGAATAACAAAATTGCGGTGGAGGCTTCGTTTTTTAGTTATAAATGTTTGAAAACTCACATGACAAGTGTGCACGGCGAGCGATTTCAGTTTTTTAATAAGTTTATGGTATGTGAAAGTGTGCTGTAGTAATTTTGACACTGACTTGTATGTACAAGATCGGCGAATTGTCATGTTTCAAGCACCTTTATGCGAATTTTCAAACATTTATAACTAAAAAACGAAACCTCCACCGCAATTTTGTTATTTTTGATTTTCGTCTTATTTTATCATGTAGAATAACCCCTTAAATTTGGTCTCATCTGTTGCCGAACTCCCTGTATATACAGGATGATTCAGAAATACACCGACAAACTTTCAGACATTGTCGGTGGCACCAATAGAATCATTTTTTGCAAATGGACCTAAGGTCGGAAACGTGTCGTTACATCGCTACGACAGACAGAGTGTTCGAAAAAGGTCGGAAATATCTCGAAATATCTCAAAAAATATAAGTTTTATAAAAAACTGTTTTAGACAGAAGTTGTAGGGTGTAAAAAGATCTATTTACTGACCTTATGAGTTTGAGTTGGGTGGCGTCGCTAAGGTCAGGCCGAGAGGTTGCCTTCATTGGCTGAATCAGCCACCGATCTTGCCTAAAGCAATCTTGACCTGACCTTGGCGACGCCAACCAAGGTCAAACTCATAAGGTCAGTAAATAGATCTTTTTACACCCTACAACTTTTTGTTTAAAACAGTTTTTTAATATAAAACTTATATTTTTTTAGATATTTCGAGATATTTCCGACCTTTTTCGAATACTCCGTCTGTCGTAGCGATGTAACGATATGTTTCCGACCCTAGGTCCATTTGCAAAAAATGATCCTTTTGGTGCCCCCGACAATCTCTGAAAGTTTGTTGGTGTATTTCTGAATCGCCCTGTATATACATACAGGGTAGGCCATTTTAATGTATCCACTGAAATATCTTAAAATCTATAAGTTTAAGACAAAAGTTGTACGATTCACAGGGGGACACATGATGAAAATATGGACTTGACCTTGAATGACCTTTTCAAGGCCAAGTCAATGTGATCGATGTTTTCTTAAATGGAACCCCCTCTGAACCCTACAAGTTTTATATAAAACATTTTTTTCTATCTTGGGTACTTTACAAGATATTTGCGTGTATTGATTAAAATGACACACCCTGTATACATGGTGAGCTTTTTAACTTGAAACTGTAAAATATCTCGGAAAGTAAGCTTTATCGAAAAAAATGTTTCAAACAAAGTTGTAGGGTTCGGAGGCGGCCACATGATAAAAATATGGATTTGACCTTGAGTGACCTTTTCAAGGTGAGATCAATCTACTGGTAAGGTCCCAAATAAAATTCTTGAGAGATCATTAAGGCGACATCGTCAAGTCGAGAATGCCATACTAGCAACGGTGGACAGAACTCCTACTATTAGTATTAGAAGACTTTCGACGCAAACTAACGTCTCTAAAACGACAATTTGGAAAATACTGCGTAATTATGATTTATACCCATTTCATTTTATGAATGTTCAAGCTCTTCAACCAAATGATTATCCTGCACGCGTCAATTTTTGTCACTGTCTTTTAAGAAATCGGCTAATACATACAAAAATTTTATTTACCGACGAAGCTACTTTTACGAGAGACGGCATTACAAATAATAGAAACACACACGTTTGGTCACCACGAGAAGAAAATCCTCATGCTATTACTGAAACACATTTTCAAAATCGATTTTCAGTGAATATCTGGTGCGGTATAATCGGTAATCGTCTAATAGGGCCCATCATTATTGAAGATCATTTAAATGCTGAACGATACTTGCATTTATTACAAGAACAGTTGCCCGAACTTCTTGAAGATCTGCCTTTAAACATCAGAACACAAATGTGGTTTCAACAAGATGGAGCACTCACTTTAGCAGAATTGTTACGAGATATCTAAATGAAAAATTTCCTGTGCGCTGGTTTGGCCGGGGAGGTCCAATAAATTGGCCTGCAAAATCTCCCGATCTATCTCCTCTGGATTATTTTTTGTGGGGGCACATGAAATCTCTAGTCTATGCGGATAAGCCAGTCAATCGGCAGCAGTTATTAAATAAAATAACAGACGCTTGTAATAATATACGTAACGATGCGGAACGTTTAATTATTGTTTAATTATTAATAAATAATATTATCTTTAATAAATAATATTGTTCTTATTTTACTATAAATTATTTGCTATAACTTTGAAACAATCGACTTTAGGGAATATGTGTATTAAGACTCTTTTGACTTAGAATGACAAAAAGGATACACAGTTTCAGTGTGGACATCACGTTGCGGGACACCCTGTATATATACGAGGAGGAACACAAAAATAACCGGAATTGTTTAAAAAGAAATATTTTATCAATTTTTATTAATCTGTAACTCTAGTTTCCTTCAAAGTACTCTCCTTTTGATTCAATGCACTTGTCCCAACGTTTTTTCCACTGCTAAAAACATTTCTGAAACTCTTCAGTGCAGATTCTGTTTAAGACCTCCAGCAATTTTTGTTTCGCTTCGTCGATATTAACAAAATGTTTTCCATCTAAATCATGTTTTATACGAGGGAACAAAAAAAAGTCACATGGAGCAAGATCAGATCAATAGGGTGGATGGGGAACAATCGCCATGTTATTTTTGATTAAAAACTGTTGGACAAATTTTTGTTTCGCTTCGTCGATATTAACAAAACGTTTTCCATTTAAATCATGTTTTATACGAGGGAACAAAAAAAAGTCACATGGAGCAAGATCAGATCAATAGGGTGGATGGGGAACAATCGCCATGTTATTTTTGGTTAAAAACTGTTGGACATTCAAAGACGTATGCGCAGGGGCGTTGTCGTGATGAAGGCTCCAGTCACCGCTTTTCCACATTTCTGGGCATTTTTTCCATACATTTTCACGTAACCTTCTCAACACTTCCAAATAAAACTGTCGATTCACTGTCTGTCTAGGAGGAACAAATTCCTTGTGCACGATCGCATTCATATCACAAAAACAAATCAGCATGATCTTGACATTAGATCGCATCCGACGCGCCTTCTTGGGTCTTGGTGAATTTGGCGTTCTCCATTGGCTTGATGTTTGTTTCGTTTCCGGATCATAATTGTAGCACCAAATCTCATCCCCGGTCACAACTTTGGAAAGAAACTGTGGGTCATTTCGAACTTGTTCCTTCAAATCATAACACGCATTCAGACGATTGTTTTTTTGATACTCTGTGAGCAAACGAAGCACAAATTTTGCGAAAAACACATTTCATTTTCAAATCTTTTGTTAAAATTCGCTGGCATAAACTCCAAAAAAAAAACAAATCACCGGTGAGCAAACAAGGCACAAATTTTGCGGAAACACGTTTCATTTTTAAATCTTCTGTTAACATTCGCTGGCATGAATTCCAAGCAAATAAGTCATTTCAGAAATCTCATCAATGGTCCGACGACGATCTTCATTGATTGCGTGGCAAACTTTTTCAAGATTTTTGTCATTTCGGCTTGTTTGTGGTCGGTCAGGTCGTAGTTGGTCTTCAAGTAACATTTCACCACGTTTGAAACGTGAATACCAATCATATACTTGTGTTTTACTTAAAGCTTCTTCTTTAAAAGCTTCACGAGGCATTATAACAGTTTTTCTTAAAAGAGAACAAAACTTAACGCACACTCTTCGTTCTTTATTATTAGCCATCACAAAAATCGCCGAGCGTGTTTGCAAACACTGGAAAAACAATGCTACAGAAAACAAATCAGTCAATCGAGAACTACGCCATGTGGTAGAGTGACTCAAAATAGTGCCAACTTGTGATAATTAGCAGCGCAATGTGCAACTACGTTCAATTCGCACACCACATTCGAATTCCGGTTATTTTTGGGTCCCCCCTCGTATATGTATATATTTTACTAATTAGTTATTCATTAATGCGATATATTTTGCTTTCTCATTTTTCTATTATACATATATCACATTGCCACAGCGCGAAAGATCGCGTGTTTTTACACGGTAAGCTGTCTATTGAGTTGGAGATGTATTAAACTCGATTAACTCTTCCGCAAATAGAATAGATGGGAGATTGTTTTTTAATTAAACAACGTAAGAGAAAACAATTACGCACGTAGACTCACTATTGTTTGCTGAAATAAGCTCACTGTTAAACTGTACAAGAATTTATATGCCGTATGCATTATTTATTGTATTATCTATTATTACATGTGAATTATAAAAAATGTATGGTATATAAAAAAAGCATTAAAAAGTTATAATTATATAAGAAATAATTTAAAAAATAAATAAATCAATAGAAATTAAATATTTTAAAACTGGAAATCAAGATATAGTCAAAATTATGGCAAGAAATAACATACAATATTAATCTATTGCGTTATAAAACATATTTTTTAATTACAATAATGAATTATTTTTCTTTTGTATATCAATTTATTTTTATTTTATAAAGGTAACGATGCGCTATTTATCAACGTTACATTACATGTTTGTGGTCAAATGAAAATTCTAAGAGCTCATTTTACAAGCTTAGATGTTACATGTCCACAAATCTACGATCGTTTTAACAAACTTTTACAGAGGCATATTTACTTGATAAAAATGACCAGGAAACTTGCCGATGTTATTAGTCTTATTTTATTAGCGGAACTTTTCATTATTAGCATATATATATGCATAATGGGTGAATATTAAATTACTTAATACCATTTTGCACAAAACATATATTATAAATGAAGTTATATAAGAGAATCTATATGTTTAGCAGGCAAATATTTCCTTTACAGGATTTCAGTTTATCATAGCAATGAAAGACAAAGATACTGTTATGATTGGACAAAGTTTAATGGCACAAACTGTTTTTTTAGTAAAGCTATCAGTGTACAGCTTTATTGGAAATTATCTGAAGTCCCAAATGGAAGATATAGGCTACTCTATTTATCAAAGTTCTTGGCATGAATTTCCTATTAATCTGTCGAAAAATCTAGTCTTCATCTTTATGCAGACAGAAGCTCCAGCTATGTTTCAAGCTGGGAATTTTATTGTGGTAAATTTATCAACTTTAGTAAATATTTTGAAGACTTCTTTTTCGTATCTGTCTGTACTTCGTATAATGGTCGATACATGAAATATAACATGTGTAAATATAAAATATTTTAAGAACTATAAATTTATAACACAATGTTTGACAAAATAAGAAATAACTAAAATGTTATAGTTTATTCAAATGTCTTATGAATAAAATTGTTATTTAAAATCGCATTTAATTATTATCAATCATTGCAATCATTGGATTATTATATTATTGCGGCGAAATAAAATTTCTTAACAATATTATATACCTATATCGCATTATATTTTCTCAGTACGGCAACTGCGATGACCTGCAATATAAAGAAAAAAGTGAGTTATTCGCTGTGTATTTTTACTTCGGGCAGATTGAATCTATACTATTTAATCGAACGGATATCCTGATGGAATAAAATGTAGTATAGATGCGTATGAGCAAAACGCGCACACTGTTTTTTCTAACATTTTACCCAGTAAAAAGAAACAGTTGCCATGGACGACAACAATTTAGAATCTGTCATATGAATTTTTATTCAACAATCACATATTGCGTAAAAGCGTAACTTGCATTCACATTTCATATACTTTACGAGTATCGAAGCAGACTGATAAGCATATATATCTTTCATGTTGAATAAAAAATGAATCGTAATACCAGCATTTTGTGTCGATATAACATCGTCGGTTATTTGGCTTTAAGAGTGTAGAGAAAATTTGATAAGAAAATATCTCTTACATAATATCCCTCACGAATAAAAAATAAGTCGAAATACCTGCGTTCTGTC